GTGGGTGGAGCGGTGTTGCTGACAAGTGGCAGTGGTGCCGTGAGCAGCGGTGGTGTGCGTGTGTCCACGGGCGTCATGTCCGGTGGTTCTAGCGGTGACATCGAGGTGCTCACTAGCGCTAGCAGCGTGGCTAGCGGATCCATTCGTATCGGTAGCGGATCCGGTGACGCTAGTGCTGGGTCCATCAATGTGTTTGGTGGCTCTTCCGTGAATGGTGAAGGGTCTTCGGTGTCTGTGTCTGGAGGCCTGTCGGAGTCGTTGACGGGCGGCAGCGTGACGATCCTGAGTGGGGAGGGCTTGTCGACAAAGAGCGGGTCGGTGACTCTTGGGTCTCACGGCGGCGCCAGTTCCGTGAACAGCGGCACGGTGTCTTTGACCAGTGGTTCCGTGGAGACGGGTTCATCCGGCGCTGTATCGATCGGTTCTGGTGCGTCGCTTGCGCAGTCGAGTGGGTCTGTGAGCATTTTTGGCGGCGAGGCTGCAGGTGTCGGCGGGTCGGTAAATATGTCCGGCGGCAGCAGCTCCGGCGATTTGGGCGGCTTACTGGCTTTGGCTGGTGGTGCTGGCGTGACGGGGGGCGATGTGACGGTATCGGGAGGCGCGAGTGCGTCGGGCATTGGCGCGTCGGTAGCGTTGCGCAGCGGAGAAGGCTTGAGCAACAGCGGCGAGGTGCGTGTGTCAAGTGCGGGTGGCGCGGCATCAGGCGGTGTACAGATCTCGTCCGGCTCGGCGTCGAGTAGCAGTGGATCTGCAGGTGGCATCAGCTTGTCGGTTGGTTCGTCTGCTTTTGAAGGCGGCAACGTCGAAGTACGCAGTGGGTCTAGTACCGGATCTGCTGCGGGAGATGTGTTGCTGACGGGTGGATCGTCCCTACTGGCGCCTTCGTCTTCGTCTACGTCTTCGTCTGCGGCAGGAGCGGTTCGACTACAGGGCGGTAGCTCTACCGGCAACATCGGCGGCGGCCTGGTGTCTGTGGCGGGTGGCGCTGGTACCGTGCAGGGCGGCTCGGTGTCCGTATTGAGTGGCGGCGGCAGCGATGCGTCTGCTATCAGTGGCAACGTGTTGGTGGGTTCGTCTGCTGGTGGCACCAGCGGATCTTTGGACGTGAGGAGCGGTGCTTCGACTGCAGGCGCGTCAGGCAGCGTGACTTTGGGCAGTGGCGACTCGATCGATAGTATGCCTGGGCCTGTAGATGTCGTTGGCGGGTCCGGTGTTTCGTCCAGAGGCGGTTCGGTGTCGATGCGCGGCGGAGCGTCCTCTTTGTCTGTTGGCGGTGCGGTATCACTGCAGAGCGGTGCAGGTAGTGCGGGCAGCGGTAGCATTGCGGTGTCCAGCGCGGTTTCGACGGACTCGAGCTTAAGCGGCAACGTGGATATTAGCACAGGCAACACCGATTCCAGTGCGTCCGGTTCATTGTCAGTCGTGTCTGGCGGTAGTTCTAGTGGATCGAGCGGGTCAGTG